GGCCAAAATTTCAATATCGGTGCCTCCCTAATAAAAACTATATAGACTTATTAAAAAAAAAATCTGAATCTATTAAAAATATCAAAAACAAACAACAAAATGACTAAAACTTAATCTAAAATAAAAACCTGAAAATATATTTTAAAAAATTATTGAATTTAAAAAGAAAATATAAAAGTCTATCTGACTAAAAGTGTAGTCTATCACTATATTCACAATATAACGCAGCTTCTCAAAACATATGACTTTATTATGAGACGGATAGTCCCTAATCTATATTTTAACACTAGTACAAAATGTGCATTTAACTAAACCAATGTAAACTACAAAATAACTGAAAATAATGTAGACAGCAAAAACAGCTCATTGCAAACCTGACCACTGAAGACCGTCCAAATGCACAGGTCTGTGAATTAACAGCAAACTAAAAGTGTTCTTTCTGTTGTAAACGATGCGCAGGATAAGTGAGATGCTGATGTTTTTCTTTGAGAGTCTTTCTCTGTTTAGCGCCCAAATCAACTGGCAAATGACGCAAGTCATGCTGAAGATAAAAGACAGCCATTTCTTTAATCTCATGCAGCCCTTTTCTGATAATCACCGGATGAAATGACACACGCAGCTCAGTTTCTGTTTTTGTCTGTGTGCATGTGTCCATAATAATGTTTCCTCCAACACGCGGGACCAAAACAAAACAAATGAGGCTACATTTCATTAGACTTGAGACCTGACGCTCTGAAGTGAATGTAATGAGATAAATAAGATAGATAAGAATGAATAAACACATTTTTATAGTATTTTGCTTTGTTTTTGCATGCAAAAACTAACAGCACGGCCTGTGTAGTCTAATTCTCAAACAAATGACTCTGAGTCGATTCCTTTAATAAATCAGTAAAAACAAAACTCACAAATCAATAGCTAACTCATGAGTTACTGGATTGAATTGGTGCATTTCCTAAAAGCATCATAAGCATAATCAGATCATAGAAACCACAATCTCCTTAGTCAGGTCACATTTATTTATATAGCGCTTTTACAATACCGTTTGTTTCAAAGCAGCTTTAATAAACAAGAAAATTAGAGTATTAAATCTTGCAAGTTCATCAATTATGAAAAGCACTTTCAGTTGTAAAGCATCTCTAATAACAACAATAGTGTCATTATTCAGCTCAATTTAGTTCCATGTTGATTCAGTTTAGTTCAATGACTGTCTCCGTGTGGCAGGAACGCATTATAAAAACCTTAAGGGACACAATAAAAGATTTTTCCTTAATAAAGGGGTTAAAAGGAGACATTTACAAGCAAAAAGTAATATATTAATAGATAAATATTAATATTTGTATTAATAAATATTAATAATTACTTACTATATATTATTAAATATTACTTAAAATATATTTAAATATATGTTAATACATATATAGTCACACTTGTGTTGATTGCAGTCAGAAATGACATTGAAAATGAATGGGAAATTTGTTACCTATACAATTTTTTTCTTGATTTTATTATTTTTTTTTTTTTATTATTATTTATTTTTTTCAGTTAATGTTTATTGTATTTCAACTTCAAGTAATGAAACCCTCTGTAATTTAATGACAACCCTTTGTAAAGTATTATACAGTTTCATTTAATTGCATTTTGAAAATACAATTAATTGGCAACAAAATAAATAAATTAATTAATTAATTAAAAAGACATTCCGTTCACAAACATATTCTTTAAAAGTACATTTTTTCTATAATAAGTAAACATTTTAAAAGTATGCTAAAGCTTAAGGTTCTTTTTCACAGAAAATCACAAATGGTATCTCATTATCTCAACGGGCTCTCAAAGACTAAATGGACAGCAAATGGAAATGTTTTAATTAACCCTAATGTTTTTGTTTGGTGCTGCAGGGTCACAAAGAAAAGACCAGAAAAATATATAGCTGGGATTGAGACCTAGTTTCATTGGAGTCCATTACGTCTCTTGAGCTATGAAATTCTTCTCTGGGCTGTGACCTCCACAATGTCCGCCGAAACCGAGGTGCAGATAAAAACACCCCCGAGGCCTACAGTAGGTGTGCTCACACTGAGGCACTGTAGGCAGGTGTGTGCTGAGACGGGCATTCCAGCGGGCACCTCGTCCCCCTCCGATCCAGAATGCCACTCATTTTAGCCCGAATGCTGTGAGGCAGCGCAGCACAGAGCTTTTTTTTTATTATTATTTATTTATTTTTTACATTTTTTATAGAAATAAATGGTCCATAATTTAGATGTGAATATTGTTTAGTATCATTAAAATCACATCAAAACACCAAATATTAAAGAAAAAACATTACTAAAATGAAATATAGTATATTTCTCTATTATTGATGATAATGTCTGGACCTCAGGGAACGACAGGCATGAAAGAGCCTGATTCAAGGCACTGCGGGAACTAGGTGAGTGTCAGAATACATCAATCTCCCGGTTACTGTATCAGGCCCAGAGGCGATTACACGCGCAGCAAACTCATGCACATGTATGTTTGTGTGCGTGGGTTTATGTTTATCACAGTCTCTGTTAACACCAGCGTCAGGGAAGCAGACTGTGAAGATGCTCCCATAATTTTCACAAAACACATTTACAGAGTTCACTGACACCAACATCCATCTGGAGTAAATTACAAGCATTTGTTTCTGTCTACCTTTCGATTACTGAATCCACACTATATATTGCATGATTAATCAAAATAAAACCAAAATATGGCTTAGTGCAATTACCGTAAATGCTGCAATATAAGTATAGACAGATAGATAGATAGATAGATAGATAGATGGATAGACGGATAGACGGATGGATGGATGGATGGACGGACGGACGGACGGACGGACGGACGGACGGACGGACGGACGGACGGACGGACGGACGGACGGACGGACGGACGGACGGACGGACGGACGGACGGACGGACGGACGGACGGACGGACGGACGGACGGACGGACGGACGGACGGACGGACGGACGGACGGACGGACGGACGGACGGACGGACGGACGGACGGACGGACGGACGGACGGACGGACGGACGGACGGACGGACGGACGGACGGACGGACGGACGGACGGACGGACGGACGGACGGACGGACGGACGGACGGACGGACGGACGGACGGACGGACGGACGGACGGACGGACGGACGGACGGACGGACGGACGGACGGACGGACGGACGGACGGACGGACGGACGGACGGACGGACGGACGGACGGACGGACGGACGGACGGACGGACGGACGGACGGACGGACGGACGGACGGACGGACGGACGGACGGACGGACGGACGGACGGACGGACGGACGGACGGACGGACGGACGGACGGACGGACGGACGGACGGACGGACGGACGGACGGACGGACGGACGGACGGACGGACGGACGGACGGACGGACGGACGGACGGACGGACGGACGGACGGACGGACGGACGGACGGACGGACGGACGGACGGACGGACGGACGGACGGACGGACGGACGGACGGACGGACGGACGGACGGACGGACGGACGGACGGACGGACGGACGGACGGACGGACGGACGGACGGACGGACGGACGGACGGACGGACGGACGGACGGACGGACGGACGGACGGACGGACGGACGGACGGACGGACGGACGGACGGACGGACGGACGGACGGACGGACGGACGGACGGACGGACGGACGGACGGACGGACGGACAGACAGACAGACAGATAGATAGATAGATAGATAGATAGATAGATAGATGGATGATGGATGGATGGATGGACGGACAGACAGACAGACAGACAGATGGATAGATGGACAGACGGACAGACAGATGGATAGATGGACAGACGGACGGACGGACGGAGAGACGGACAGACGGATAGATAGATAGATAGACAGACAGACAGACAGAGAGACAGACAGACAGACAGATAGATAGATAGATAGATAGATAGATAGATAGATAGATAGATGCTTATCAACAAAAGATGCTTTAAGGGCTTCCTGTGGTTTTCCGGCAAAATAAAAGCTTGATGGTGTAACATTTAAAAATAAATAAATAAATAAAAATGAAGCCAGCCGTAAATACTAGTATTGTAATTTTACAGTTGTAAGGTAAATGTAAAGTATATTATTTTACTTAAACACTCGATCTTTTAATTCTACAGTGAATAATAGTATAGTAATATTTTCTGAGACTGAGATTTTTTAACTCATTTAATCACTGACTTTGGAGACGTCATGCATTTATTGAACTTTAAAAAAAATAAAATAAAATAAAAAAGTGGATTTCCTTGAATGTTAAATATAATTCAATTGAAAATCAAATAAAAATATTTTTTAAAAACATTTCTTGTTTTTATTTATTATTATTATTATTATTATTATTATTATTATTATTATTATTATTATTATTTCATAGCCATATTAATATACAATCAAACAATTTTAGCGAAATTGTCCATCCCTAAAAACAGAGCAAACATGTTTCTTATTATGTCATAGCCATATTGATACTATATATATATATATATATATATATATATATATAATCACAACATTTTGGTCAAATCGTGCTGCCCTAAAAAAACGCGCAAGCCTTTTTTTCCGCAAATGCATTATTTATCAGAGAAAGCGCAATTCGATTTTTTTCCCCCCAAATCGTGCAGCCCTATATTGCACTATAAACACTATATATTTGATGAAACCTAATATCCAAACATCCTTCCCTAAATATTGCTTTTATTGATTTCCAGACTCATTTCCAGAAACATTTCACATGAGGAATAGCTCACCCAAAGTCCGCTATCAAAATATGCCTTTCTTTCTCTAAATGAAACACCAAAAGAAATGAGAGTGAGCATACGACATTTAACTTTTCCTTTAATGAAGTGCTGAATAATTACACCCTTTAATTGTTAGCGTACTATTCTAGCAGCACTAGTCTGATTTAGAAACATCAAACCCGGTTAAATGAGTTTGATTCATGACACAATGCTCTTACCTGCTGATGAAGAGGAGGGCAAATAAAGAGCTGAAGAAGGTCATGGTGAGACGATGAGAGCTTCAGTGCGCTGGAGTCAATCTGGAGAAGAACAGAAGCAGGTCACTGAAACGGTAACACATAATTTCAGCATTTACTCTCCTGATCCAGCCCTCTGCAAAGCATGCTGGGAACTAACAATCAGCTTCAGTTAATGCAACAAAAATTATTCAGGTCGTCCCAAAACGAGTGGATTAAGTAAACTTCTTTTTTTCATATTTAAGTAGATTTAACAATAAAATTAGGTAGTGACAGAATGATCAGCAATTGTGCTGCTTCTGCTTATTTTAATTAAGTAAATTGTGCAAGCAGCAAAAATCATTAATTCAGTGTCGATCAAGGCTGCTTGATTATGGCAAAAAAACATAATGACGATTATGATTGAGATTAATATGGAGACCGTGATTATTTCTAAAATAAATAAAAAAATATATAAAATAAAATAAAAAAAATAAAAAAATAATCAAATAAAAATAAAGCAGATTTCCTTAAACTTTAAATATAATTCAACTGAAAAACAAACAGAAATGTAAATAAATAAATACTTTTAAATAGTGGATTTTCCTGAAAGATAAATATATTTCAACTAAAAGAAAACAATATGAATAATATGATAGATAGATTCTATCAGTGAATTTCCATGAAGTATAATTCAACTGAAAATAGAAGTAAAAATGTAAAATAATAATAATAATAAATGAAAACCAAATAAAAACATTTAAAAAACTTAACAGAAAAAAAAACTTCCTTGAACACTAAATATAATTAAACTGAAAAACAAACAGAAATGTAAAATAAAAAGACATAAATAATATATACATATTTAAACAAATAATGTAAAAAAATAAATACATTTAAATTAGTTATACATAAGATCAACTATGATGTGGTGGAAGAACTTAACAATTAGGAAAGGATGAAAGCGCACTGCTGTAAAGCAAGAGATGCGCTGGATTTATAACACAAAACAAAACTAGAGCATCACTGTGAAACCCAATGGTTTTATCTCAATTACTGTATCTTGTGTTCATGATCACTGGAAGCCAAAATCCTAATTGAAACACAGTAACAGTGTATGAGATGCAATAATCTCCATAACCACTCTCCCAGAAACACTAAGCTTCAGATTAAGGTAATTAACAGAAATCATAATTCCAGCTTCGTGAAACCGCTGCCTTGCACTGGACTCGCTTTTGTTTTGTTTCTGTCACACAGAGATATCAGAGATCCAGATGGTTCATCCAGAAGGGTTCGACTCTTGCTGTTTGCCAACTAGGGAAGAAAAACATATGCAGCAGAAATCTGCAAAATAAAGATACGAGTACAGAATCCTTTGATACCTCACAGAAGTCGATATCCTAATTATCACGATAAACGTCAAGTCTTTATTTCTTTCCAGTTCAAAGGCAGATTTTTGCTCATGAGCGAACGTTGTAGAAACCAAACAGTTAATTATGGGTTTATCAACTGACTAGTGAAAAATAAATATACTAAAATGCACTTGAAATACATTTATTTCATGCTAAGTAGATACACTTACATAAAAAATTACAACTGCTATTGCACTTTTGGTACACTAAACTAGTATACTTAAAGCTCATTTGTACTTAATGCACTTTAATTGTGCTGAAGTCCAACTAAAGATATACTTAAGTATATTTGATTGTGCTAAAGTGGAACTAGTGCGAGTATGCATCAGGTAATCTTGCATTTAAAGACCGATATTATTCAAAGATCAGTGACCTTTGACCCGCACCTGCCTAGCTCACACGGCCGGCTGCAGAAAAGGCGGAATGCATAATCGTCTGGTTTTCAGGTCCAAAACAGATGCCTTTATCCTAAAAATTTAACATGAGCAACTATTGTATACTATTGCTTCTCGTGTCTTTCTGCTGTCAAATCTTGACTGATTTTGATCAAGTAAAGGTCAGAATAACTGCAGTAATATCTCCAGATGAACTCTTACTGGACTGAAGCAGCTCAGCTTTACTTGATTCTCCATCAATCATGTTTTAGAGTCTCAAATCTGATCCTCAGGATCTTTTGAGGAGCGTTTGTTTCCAGAAGCTTTACTTTCACTGTTTCTGAGTGAAACACACAGTCGTGTAGTGTATTCCAGCCTTAAGACATACTGTATTATTGAGATATATAGAGTGACAACTGATATTTATATCAGGGGTATTTGAAAAATAAAAACACTATTTGAGTTTTACTACGTGTTGCTTTGCTGGCCGTAAATGCAGGGAATCCATGTTAAATCCTAAATGGAATTACTAAATGGAATTACTTTTGATCAAATGAATCAGTGAAATATATACAGTATATATGTATATATATAATTTTTTATTTTTACACACGTTTTCAACTAAAAGAAAACTTAAAGACATAACGTCTATATAACGTAACATTGTCGTAGAACATTGTTGTGCATGATGCCTAATTATAAGCTTGTTCAGAAATGGCGACAAAAACTTGATTATTAACAAATAACGTCTTACTCGTTAAACGTCATTTAAATAAACAAGTATTTAAATATTAATTTTTTTATGCGCCCAAATGTTCGAATACAATATTTATTAAAAATGCCCATCCCTAATATTAAGGTGGTTCCTCACTAATACTCCCAATTTTATGATATAAACTGGATTAAATCATGCCTCACCCTTAAAAAGTGCATTTTGGACAGCATTTCATGTTGACCTAAAAATATCTCCTGAGAATAATATAATACAATATACTATGAATGATATATTTATTTAATTAGTTTTGTATTTAAGATCCAAGTAAAATTTAGTAAAAAGATCCCATTTTTGTCCCAAAGGGTGCATTTATTTGATTAATAATACAGAAATGATCTTGAGACATAGGATTATGCTTCCTTTTAGTTTCCTGGATGGAGAGTGCTTTAAGAACAGAAAACACAAAGCGCTGTAAGAAACTTTGCTCAGCACACTGTTATCTTTGTGCAGTTTAACGGCACGAGTGTGTAAATATATAAGAAAAACAACAACAGAGTGTCTTTAAAAACCCTTTTGTGCAGAACTACTTCCTACCGCCACAGATTCAAATCTCTGCTTGACAGTTTAACAGCTGAGCTCAAGATCTGTTACTAATTCAAAAACGTTACTTTAGAATTTTAGTAATGAAGGAACGTTGTGTTGCTTCATTAAAAGCTTATTGTATTACTGTATTAAAAGCTCATTGAATTATGTAGAGTATTGTGAGAGAGAGATGGACTGAGAGTGTGATTACCTGCATCTGACACAGCATTCATTCTTCAGCTCAATCTCATATTCACAATAAAACATGAGATTGAATGTCCGCTGAGGAAAGCGATATCTTTGTCGTACTATCTTTCATCTGTTAAGGGTGATTTCCGATGACAGCTCTGCTCAGTGCATTTGTTAACTGCATCTTACAAGCTGTTGTTGAGTAAAAATAACTTCCATTTCAGTCTCTTTCAATATAAAAGTCTTTACTGCTGACTTGTAAAACAGTCTCTTGTCGCCATCTAATGGCGGAACAATGTCACTTGAATTACCATCATGAACACACACACACACACACACACACACTGTTTCTCAATACTAAATACTACTATGAATATAAAATAGTATTTATTGAATAATAAACAACAACAACAGCCATCATAAAAGTTGCTAGACAATTCAGTCAAAAGTACAAAGGCAGCGCTCTGAAATACAGCATTAAAGTTACATAAAATATAACGTGTATGAGATTTTGCCCTCAGCCAAAACTATTTGCTCTGGAACAAATTATAGATTAATGAAACCAAAGATTGCCCATTAGATTTACCCAAAACGAATTATATCTCATGTTTAACCACTATAGAGACATCAGAGCCAGCGGTGATTTCCAGAAGATCTGGCCAAGGTGAGGCTGCTCCAGAAAACACAAAGCGCTGTAAGAAACTTTGCTCAGCACACTGTTATCTTTGTGTCTTGGGAATGTCTGTGTCGGTGTGCGTTCTTACTGCTATCAGACTGAGGAGCCAACTTTCACCCGAGCATGTGGATATTATTGTTTTTCTCAACATTAACATGATGTGAGACAATATAAAAAGGATAAACATGGATCATGTGACACTGAAGACTGGAGTAATGATGCTGAAAATTCAACTTTGATCACAGGAATCAATTATATTTTAAAATATATTAAAAAACATTATTTTAAATTGCAATAATATTTCACAATATTACTGTATTTATTGAATAATAAACAACAACAACAGCCATCATAAAAGTTGCTAGACAATTCAGTCAAAAGTACAAAGGCAGCGCTCTGAAATACAGCATTAAAGTTACATAAAATATAACGTGTATGAGATTTTGCCCTCAGCCAAAACTATTTGCTCTGGAACAAATTATAGATTAATGAAACCAAAGATTGCCCATTAGATTTACCCAAAACGAATTATATCTCATGTTTAACCACTATAGAGACATCAGAGCCAGCGGTGATTTCCAGAAGATCTGGCCAAGGTGAGGCTGCTCTCGATTTGTAACAGTGTAATTAATTTAATTGATTAGAAATATGGTTTGATGATAAAAAACATGAATTAAGCAATTAAAAATGGAATCCAGAAAAATGTTAACACATAATTTTGGAAAAAATGAAACATTTAAAAGGCCACTCTCATACGTTTTAATAAATCAAAAAAATTGTAACAGAGTAATGAATTTGAGTAGAAATGTGGTTTGATAATTAAAAATGAATTAAGCCATTCAAAATTTAATCCAGAAAAATTAAAAAGAAAAACAGAATTTGAGGGAAAAAATAACCAGATTTGAAAGGTCCTTGCATGAAATAACAGAAAGGAAAATTGGAACTCTTTCATTCAGACATGAATGTCCTCCTAGGATTTAGATCAAAACAATCACCAAAAATCGGAGCCAATCTGTATTATTTCTCACTTGTCATCTTTACAGAATTATGGTAACTCTGACCTGATGGGAACACCTCAATCCAGAAACGTATCCTCTTACAACAGTGCAAAATCCCAAAGGATCTTTCATTCAAGTGCAGGCTTATACACCGGGGAGGACGTATGAGGAGAAATAATGGATCAGCTGTCACACTTTCTGCACGATTTGTCACTCAAGTTTGCAAAGAACCAAAAGGTCAAGGCAGAGAAGCTAGAAAACTGAAATCAAGACCAGTCCCACATAGCTAAAACTGGAGGAAGAGCCAGAGAGATTCATCCTCTACACTGTAAAAAATGACCGTGAATTTAACGGTAAAAGACTGTAAAAATGCTACAGTAAAAACCTGTTAAGTTTTTTACCGTACATTTTACAGATTTTTTTTTACAGTGTACTCGTGGAGATATGGAGAGGCGGTTGATCTCGTAGAGCAATATGACAACCCTCCCACCGCGCCATCCAGAGATACTGTGATTGATGGCCAATCAAGCCTGTAAGACTGATGGAGTTGGTGCTTTACAGAGGCCATCAATGATGATAGCCCGTGTCCCTGGGGTGGCTTCATTATCTTATTTTTGACCTTCAGTAGGACAGAATATGGCCGTCATTCAGATCAACCTCTCAACCCAGCTGTTACTCAGGGTTTAGTTATGTCTTAACTAGATTGCTGGTTTGGAAGAGCCAGAGAGATTCATCCTCTCGTGGAGATATGGAGAGGCGGTTGATCGCGTAGAGCAATATGACAACCCTCCCACCGCGCCATCCAGAGATACTGTGATTGATGGCCAATCAAGCCTGTAAGACTGATGGAGTTGGTGCTTTACAGAGGCCATCAATGATGATAGCCCGTGTCCCTGGGGTGGCTTCATTATCTTATTTTTGACCTTCAGTAGGACAGAATATGGCCGTCATTCAGATCAACCTCTCAACCCAGCTGTTACTCAGGGTTTAGTTATGTCTTAACTAGATTGCTGGTTTGCCCTGTGACACTCTGAAATGCTGCAATTAGATTGCCAAGCCAAGCATCACTATATTCATTGGGTTACAGTACAATAAACTGCTCCAGACAATAAATTGACAGGTAAAAATTAATCCCACCACTTACATGGCCTTCAAGTGGAGTCAGAAATGTTGTATGATTTAGGAATACTGAACACATGAATGACCAGGCGAAGTGGGAATCAGTGTTATTTTAGTATCACTGATGTATTATAGTTTTTGTTAATATTTTGAATTAGATTTTATTTCTTAATTTCTCTTTTCATTTCAAAGTTTTAGTAATTTTGTGTTTTTTTTTTTAGTTTTAGTTTTTTGTGTTTCTTCGTGGGAACGAATTGAAATGTAGCATTGCATCAGTGTCTCAGCAATGGATGCTCTGCAGTGAATGGGTGCCGTCAGAATGAGAGTCCAAACAGCTGATAAAAACATCACAATAATCCACAAGTAATCCACACCACTCGTCCATCAGTTAACATCTGGAGAAGACAAAAGCTGAAACTAATCCAGCATTAAGACATTTTTAACTAAAATACCATAGAGTCCATAATCCATAATAAGGCTTCCTCCAGTGAAAAAGTGTTCTGGTCTGAATCAGGAGAGATCTGCACAGATCAAGCAATGGTTTGAAGTTAAAAACGTCTTAATACTGTGGAATAATGCTTATAACCGTGAAATCGGTATAATTTTGAAAAATACCGTGATATAAATTTTTGGTCATACCGCCCAGCACTAATATATATTATTAAACATCTCTATATGATGTTTTTCACTCTACTTTTTCCAGAACTAGTAAATCCAGGTCCAATATGAGAATTCAGCAGTTTTATTGAGTGCCTGATCGACCTCTCCATCCTCACACTCTCCGGATGTGACGGGGGAATGTGACACTCTCAAAATCCCGGTTCTGGAATTTTGATGATAAATTGAGGCGATGTTCCCACAACTCTATTCTAAAAAAGTCATTTAAATTAATCCTGTTCATTCCCAATCCTACATTTGCCCTGCGTGTCATGCTTGACTCAAGAGCCGCTGTGGGAGCAACTTCAGCACATACATGACTATAACACTATATCACATCTTATCCCTGACCGTAACACATTCTAATACAAACCAAGTGATCTGCTAAATTACAAGATGATGTGAACTGCTCCTTGCCAATTTTGGAAAAAATAAAAAAAATAAAAATCTGTCCCAAAAGCAATGGAAATGCATTAATACTTCATATAGGCACAAAGCATTACGCAGGATTAACACTGCATAGAGTGCAATTACAATAAAAGAAAGCAATGCAAGACAAAAATTTTTTTGCCAAATCTAATCAAAAACTCAACTGCATAATGTGCCATTAAAGTGAATTTGCCCATGACTATGACAAGAAAACATGAACATATGTCAGCCAAACCGCTCTAACGCTCTGATGAATGAGTTTCATTCTGCTTCTCACTATCTAGATAACATAAGACATGTGACACATCGGCATATTTACATTAAATGACAATATTTTTCATTCTGCAATAGATAACTCAATAAGAACTGCGCTTTGCATGGATGAAACTGCTGAAACTGTTGTTGTGTGAATTAAATATTAAATACGACTACGAGACATCAAAACAGGATTTGGCCAGAACAATACTCCACAAAGCTTCATTCGAATCGTGTTTACATTTCATTCAACTTGGGAACATTTAATTTGCAAATTCTTATTAAAAACGAGCTCATATCTAAGGTTAAAGTAACTGCGTAACACACTACCGTCGAGTTCAGCGGACACCTCCGAGATCCAGTCAAAGCTGAAGCGCGTCTTCTCTTACCTGTGGCGCCGTGTAAATACGGGCATTTCTCTGAAATATCAGGATGAGCTGACCGACCGAGTCCACAGAGACATTGATCTTCACATAACATCCGAAGAAACGTAGTTCCGAGCAGTATTTGCCTCCGGTTGCTCCTGTCGCTTCACGAGAGCTCCGTTCATTCGGTGTTCGTGATTGACAGCCGTGCTTACTATCAACGGTGACTACTAGTGCTCTGTCTGTGACCAGCTAACCAAGTTAACCCGTTTAATCACACATTTTTCCCAGACATGAAAATATCCAAATTACGTGTCATTAGTAACCCTTTGAAATAATAACTTTTTCTTTCTTTTTTCTTTTTTTTTTTTTAGAAAAGGTGTTTTGTGGTCGGTCACTGAATTAACATATTTCTGCAGTCATCAAAGTTTTATATATCTCTGTTTGATCACATTCTAGGGTTGTTTTTATTATGCATAAAATCCCTTATACAACACTGATAGGAACACGTATTTCAAAATACAAGTATTACAACATCAATACTGTAACTTATTTGTAACATTTGAACTTTTAATTTAGTGAGACTTAAGAAAATGTTGTAGCACTCCAAATCCTAAAAACAAAATCCTTTTTTTTTTTTATATATATATATATGTTTTTTCTAGACTTTTCCAGTCTGCATTGGATTCAGTGTGCGGCTAGCTACTTTTTTGTAACTTTTAATTTAGTGCAATATTTTGTCATTGCAACATTTTAGTGCAACCTTCACTAACAACTGCACTTGTATTTAAACCTATGCGCTGTATTATTATCTCACCGGTCACTACTGTTGCCATCAATATATGTTTACTCATTCTATGACCACACCCAACAAAACTGAATAATTGTGAATTCATATATTAATACTAGACACCTTAAAGTTAACATGTACCAAACATCTTTATCATATCTTTATGTTAAGATACTTTACCAGCCTTTCGTTTAAGAGCTTTGATGCAGCCATCACCTTCTCATGGTGCAAACAGGAAGTAACGTTTGCATACAAAAATGTTTTTAAAACATTAAAAAAACTGAACGTTTTGATCATTCATAGAACATTCAGAAATAATGTTTTCATATATATAATGCCAATAATGCCAAACTCGCTCTCAAAGTGTGTTTTCAACTCCTAAATGTTCAGATAGTCAATACGGTTGTCTTTTGTAACCAAACCACGTGTGAATATGTCATTCTTTTGCTCAAACATTAGATCATGAAGCTTGCAACACCAAGGTCATGGGTTCGATTCCCAGGGAATGCATGATAACATGTTTACCTTCAATTCAACGCAAGTCGCTTTGGATAAAAGTTTCTACAAAATGCATTGGAAATTGTATCTTCTGCTGTGTAAACATAGGTTATTCAGATTTAGTTTTCTTAAAATGCGTCCTTCATGCAGTATGGAAGAAAACTTTGGATGCTCTAAGGATATTTATCATTTGACTTCAGTAAATGTCAAACTCATGAAGCTGTGAGAGACAGACGTACAGTATGTTCAGTATGTTTTCTCTCTCTCTCTCTCTCACTTTTCCACACGCATGCTATCATTAATCAAACTGTACCCTTAATTAATGAAATGTGATTCAGGCCGAAATTGAAACTCACTCTGCGCTTCCTTTGTGGATTCTGATTACTTCTTAATTTTGTCCATGAGTCTTCAGGCATGTTTAATTTAATCAGTATGTTTTGACATTATACATTGATGAATTAGGGTCTGTTCTCCCATTGCTGTCTAGAAAATGAAGTGTTTGCTGTTTTGTTGTTAATCAAGTGACAATAATTCTGTCATTGTGTGTATAACGCTTAACAGGAGCTCTGGAAATTATCATTTAACACAACCACAACCGTGGACGAGCAAGAAATTAGCTTCTTTTCGGTGTTTTAGTCAGTTTCTTCTTACACGTGTTCCAGCAGATAATCCTTTCCTAAACTGATGTTGTGTGCTATTTGCATTTCTAAAACCTATAAGCATTTCTACGTTTATTCATGCTACTGTAAAATAGATTAATATGCATGACTATTTTGAATTAGGCTAGTAAATTGGATCCATAAATGGGGGTTTCAAACAATATTCATGCAAGAACAAACACTTAAAGCTGGTGGTCCCTGTGCTGTTTTCAATGCATCTTTTAGCCTTAGTTTGCACACAGGATGAATATGAAGATTGCTTTGTCACTGATAAATACATCACATCCGATCCCATGCACTTATCCGGACTCTCACTCACACACACTCACACTCACACTCTCTCTCTCTCTCTCTCTCTCTCTCTCTCTCTCTCTCTCTCTCTCT